ATTAATTAAGTCAATCTGAACTTACTAGTTACTCTAATCATCTCAACTGATAATTCTCAAAACTCATCTGATCTCAACTGATATTATTTAGAGCACTTTATAATAATACGGGGTATTACAGAGGATAAGCCTCTTTTCTATAGGAAAATATTTAGATAAAAAAGGAAATGATTCATAGGGCAAATTGAATTCAATACTCGATTATATAATCATATAATCAAATATGTCACTCCAAAAATAAATATATTTGATTTCAAATTGTTACCAATCAATTATAGGCTCTTCCAATTGATTATAGACGTTACAAAGTGTAACGCCCCAGATTTCGGTCAAAGATATTATTTAAAAACACTACGCCAAAATTGATATTTTGTATCACATAATTTAATAGTGCTTTTAAAAAAAGTGCTATTAAAAAGGAAACAAACATATCTATAATAGCACTTTATGGTCGGACGCTATTATAGAGTGTAGACAATGTGATTTTGATAGCACTTTATTAAAAAACGCTATTATTAAAAAGGAAACTTCTCAGTTTGCAAGAATATGGATTCCGTTTTATAAAAAGTATAACATTGAGCCAAGAGCTCCCGAGTCTTATTTTTCTCAAAAAGTTGATTACTTGAAAGACAAGGTACTTCCAACATTTATAAGGGACCGCTGAGCTATGAAGGTAAATCCTACATCGATGTTTTTTAAAAATTATTTTTTCATATTGATGTTGTTCTATTTTTCTATGTGAGGCTTTAAGGCATTTTCTATTGCAATTATGCAGAGAGAGTACGAAGAGTTCAAGGTGAGAACTAATGTACTTGTCGCGGAGTCTCAGAAAAAACCAGAAGAGGGATGGGTGCTGCAAGATGGTACTACATGGCCCAGGAATAACACTGACAATCATCCAAGAATGATTCAGGTTTGCTAATTTCATTAACTAAAAAATCAAGTCAAATTTTTTCATAGGATATCCTGAAGAGTTTATGATAATAATCCGGAAAAAACATATGGAAATTGTAATAAGCTACTTTCATAAGCTCTCTCAAATTGTTTAATAAGTGCTTATGTCAGTATATCAGCTTAAGTAATTCCGTTCAAACATGTCATTTGGATAATGACTATAAACCAAGAACTAAAACGTATAAGCACTTATCTTTGTAGGTGTGTCTTGGAAGTGATGGGGCTGTAGACAATGAAGGCAAGTCACTGCCACAACTTGTGTATGTTTCGCGCGAGAAGTGTTCTAGTTATCAACATTATAACAAAGCCAGAGCAATGATTTCTCTGGTAAGTAGTTTAAACTTTTAGTATATAGTTTTATTCCATTTAGTTAAAAAATGATATTATATAAACTGTTTATTTAGTATAACTCTTGAAATGCTTCGTTTCCTCAACAACTTCGAGTTTCTGCTGTGCTTAACAATGCACCTTTTGTGTTGAATTTGGATTGTGATCAATACATCAATAATAACAAGGCTATTAGGGAAGCTATGTGCTTCCACATGGACCCTCTACTTGGAAAAAGACAGCTTATGTCCAATTTCCATGAAGGTTTGATGGCATCGACGACAATGATCGATATGCTAATCGCAACACTGTATTCTTTGATGTAAGGGATATTTTCCTAAACTCCGATGCAAGTTGCAATCTAACTAACTGATCTTTAACTCTTGCCTTAAATTTTGTTTCCTTTTAGCAGGGTAGACTTTATCATGTAAAGAGTTTCTTTTGCTATTGTTGTAGATTAGTTTGATATCTACTAGATAAGTTACTTTCTCAAAGACTGTGACATATATCTTCTTGATGATGTCTTTAGCACAGTTGATGCACATACCGGCACTGAAATATTTAAGGTGCTTATCCTCTCAATCATTCATAATCATCAAATTGTTAAAAAATATCTGGCTTTAATCGTATCTATCTTTTTTACAGGAATGTGTGAGGGGAGCTCTGAAAGGAAAGACTATAGTTCTTGTAACACACCAAGTAGACTTCTTACATAATTTTGATCGTATCGTGGTAAGTCTCTTTTTTAAGTCCTGTGTATAATTCTTGGTGAACGATGAGTTATTCTAACATGTATATATATTTTCTTGCAAAAAGGTGATGAGGAAAGGAGCGATAGTCCAATCAGGTCGGTACAATGACCTACTTGATTCTGGATTGGATTTCGGTATCCTGGTAGCAGCACACGAGCCTTCTATGGAACTTGTAGAACAAGGTGCATCCATGCCTGGTGAAAATTCGAATAAGCCTATGATATCTAAATCATTGTCTAACAACAGCAGAGAAACCAATGGTGAAAGTAATTCTATTGACCAACCTAATTCAGCTAAGGGAAGTTCTAAACTTGTCTAAGAAGAAGAACGAGAAACCGGTAAACTTAGCTTTAATATCTATAAACTCTATTGCACCGAGGCTTTTGGATGGATAGGGATTTTCGCGGTACTCTTTCTTTCTATGTTGTGGCAAGCATATATGATGGCTAGTGATTATTGGTTGGCATATGAAACATCGGTCAAGCGTGCTGAATTTTTCAATCCTTCGTTGTTTATTTCAATCCATCGTCTACGCAATTATTAGCATAGTTTCAGTTCTTCTGATAGTGCTGAGATCCTATTCGGTTACAGCCTTCGGGTTAAAGACAACACAGATTTTCTTCAAACAAATTCTTAATAGCATCTTGCATGCTCCAATGTCTTTCTACGACACTACTCCATCAGGCCGAATTCTAAGCAGGGTAAGAGTTTAAGGCCGAATTCAAGTATAATCGATTTCATATGTATGTATAATTGCAACTTCATTATTTTTGAACTTTCACAGGCATCCACTGATCAGACAAATGTCGATATCTTCATCCCGTTGTTCGTTAATTTTGTGGTGGCCATGTATATTAAAGTCGCCAGTATCATCATAGTCACTTGCCAAAATTTATGGCCGACAACTTCTTGTTTGGTTGAACCTTTGGTATCAGGTACGATACGAACAATCACTTATTTGAAAGATTAAGTCCATTATAGTACTCTATATTATGCTAACAACTCATGTAATTTTTGTTCCTTTTGGTTTTGCAGGGTTATTTTCTTTCTACTTCTCGCAAGTTAACTAGGCTGGATTCAATTACAAAAGCACCTGTGATTGTTCATTTCTCCGAAAGCATTTTCGGGGTGATGACAGTCTGCGCATTCAAAAAACAGAAGGAGTTTAGTTTAGAAAACATCAGACGAGTAAATTATAACTTGGGAATGGATTTCCACAACTTCAGTTCCAATGCGTGGTTGGGCTTCCACTTAGAATTGCTTGGAAGCTTGATTTTCTGCATGTCTGCTTTGTTCATGATCATATTGCCTAGCAGTATAATAAAACCAGGTAATTCCCCCATCATTATATTGCAACAAATTTTTTTTATTGAGATATTTAATTAACCGTTGTTTTGTTTGATGTTCGGCGTAGAAAACGTTGGTTTATCTCTCTCTTATGGATTATCGTTGAATTCGGTGATGGTCAGTTGCTGGACAGACATTGTTATGAATTTTGCTACTCAATCCTCCCATTTATTGTAGTATTGAGTTATAAAATCTCATTTTCTTAAAAGAATAAACAAAGGGAATTAATAGCGCTTTTCTAGAAAGTGCTATTAAAGATAGTGTCTACAATAACACTTTTATAAAAAACGCTATTAAATACAAGGACTATAATAACACTTCTAAAATAAGCGCTATTAAATACAAGGACTATAATAGCACTTCTTCAAAAAGCGCTATTAAATACAAGGACTATAATAGCACTTCTTCAAAAAGCGCTATTAAATCCTTTCATAAACAAAGTGTATGGTAGCGCGGAACAGGACAATGATATCATTTATAATGAAGTGCTATTAAAAACACTCATTTTAATAGCATTTTAAAAGCGCTATTATATGTATCAAATCTATAATAACGGGGGCTTTTATAGCACTATTTAAGGTGAAAAAAAGCGCTATTAAAAACAATTTTTGGCGTAGTGAAAATAACTATTTACTTTAAAATTCATATTTTCTAAAAGATGTGACCATTTTTTTAAAATTGGTATACCTAAAAAGTTATAATATTCATTACATTACAAATCCAATAAAACTCATTTTTTTTTTTATTTCCACGGTCACATATAACATCACAATAAACTCAATTCATATCTTTAAATTTTTTGTACCTAAAATGTTAGTTTGTAAGAAGTCAACTTCTATAATCCACTACCATTCAAAACAAAACTAAATAAGAAATTAAAAATTAGAAAATTACATATATACCATTCTTTTGCCAAAAATAGAGCTAAATAAGAAATTAAAAATTATAAAATTACATATATACCATTCTTTTGCCAAAAATGTACAAATTAGACATTGCCAATTTTTTTCAAAATTAAAGGATAAAAATATTAACACCAATGTATAAAAAACAAATCCACATAACCCAAAATCAAGATTTATTATTTATTAAGCAAAAAAAATCTTAACATACATAAATAAAATATTCTTAAAAATGTAAACCGATATTATTATAGTCAATAAATTACTACATTATTAAAAGAACGTACATTTACACTATCTAAAATATAGATCTATTAACCATTAAACAAAAATATATCACGTTATATATATATATATATATATATATATATATATATATATATATATATATATATATATATATATATATATATATATATATATATATATATATATATATATATATATATATATATATATATATATATATATATATATATATATATATATATATATATATATATATATATATATATAAAATACATCACAAAATCATAAATCAAAGTATAAAAAATCACAAAATGAAAATATGCATGCTTTTAGTACTATATAACCTAGATATAATCTGCTCGCCACTAATGCATTACACAAAAACCATCACGGGAAAATAACATGCTACTAAGGCACCAGACAAAAATGCATATGTCATGACATGATGATGATAAAATACAAGCACGTCACTTTGAAAAATCTCACCACTCAGACAATATACCATCCAAATAACAATATATCGTCATGCACATGACTAAAATCATAAATTTTTAATAATAAATTTCACCACTTAGGCAAACATCACTCAGGCATCAAGCAAACACTACTTAAACAACAAGCAATCACATACACACATTTACGATACACGTAAAAATATAATAAATTTCACATACCTTAAAAATATAATAAAACATATTGTGAAATAATTGACATATAGTTCAATTTAACCCAATAATTTTATACTATTATTTACTCTTTCTCACCTCCTTTATTTTAAACATATAGTTCAATAAATATAAATACATATTTACTTATGTATGTTTTATTATTAATTAAAATATTATTTGTTTAAAATATTCACACTAAAATGCTTTCATATTTAAAGGATTATTAAAATAATAAAATAACAAATATAATAATAAATCTTAATATTAGTTATTAAATATAATAAATATATTTATAAAATTAACTAAACATAACAAGTATAAAATAAAAGAAAATTAATTTTAATATTACTAAGTTATCGAATAATTATGTATAAAATAAATAACTAAAATAGGCCAATTATAATAAATAATTAAAATATAATTATAGACATAAAATAAATTATTCAATAATTGATAAAACTTAATAAATAAATAAATAAATAAATAGTATATAAAAAAAAATTGCGATGTTATATTTTTACCCCCTAAAAATATTTTCGTCTTTGAAATTAAAAAGTATAAATATTATGATATAACTCCCTCGTTAAATAAAACCAAAGGATAATAAAATCAATTTGTATATGATGCAAAGTTAAAATATTATAACACGTAAATAAAATGGTTATAATTAAAGATAATTCTGGAGTGTTACGTTATTCAAACATACAAAAGTAGTTTTGTCCACAAAATTGAAAGATTACAACAAATAAAAAAAAATATTTGCAAATACACCTTACGTAAAACAATTTAACTCTTTTCATTTAAATTCACAACTAAAAACTATTTTCAATTCTTTTTGTAAGGTATAAAAACTATATAAACTATTCACTTAAGTTTATAAAAACAAATAAAAATAATGGAACATCATGCTTTCATTCCACACTCTAATCTCTAATAAATATGGTTGTTAAATTTAAAATTCAATAAGATTTTGAAAAACCTATTAAAATCAAGAGTGAACAAATTATTAAATAATTTATAAGGATAAAATATTTGGATATCAAAAAATTATATGAAATACTTCAACATAGCATAAAGTAATTTGATAAAATATATTATTACATGGAAAGAAAAATAAATTCTTTAAACAAAATTATAGTAAAATAAAATTACTTTATAAAAGATGACAAAAATATTTATAGATCACTCTCATCGAATCACATTATAAAATTTAAAATAGAGAAGATAATAATTCATGAGAGATTTAAAAAAAGTGAATAGTTAAATCATTCTTTGTCTGCATACTTATACTTATTCTCTTAGGACGTCTAATTAACTTTACTCGTTCTAACTGTTAGTGAGACCGATTCATTACAGTCATAATGATTTCTACATATTATTAACAACAGATTGAGGTGGATCAGGTCCCTAATTTGTCCTTAGTTAGGGAGCAACCATAATCGTGGTACATAGAATCCTACCTAAACAGTCATAATATTTGCTACAACTTGCACTTAGAGCTCGCTGAATTTTTCATTAGCGCTTAACACATTTTATTTGAACTCTCCCTCATAAAAACATGACTTATGATAGATAATATAAATACTTCACTTACTTATGCTTAAACCGCACACCATCTCTCAAGGATGAATGTCGAGCCATCTGTATCCTACAACTTAGTTTAGTTATAAAAGATTTTACAATCTAGTTATTAGAAATATAGGTTAGTTACATATAAGTTCTAGTGTGATAGTTGTAACACCCCCTTTCTATACTCCCAATTAATCAAATAAATCATTAAGGCACATACTAAAAATCCATCAGAGTACGATTAAACCATGGTATAAAAGAGGTGCGCCACATCATACTTGAATTTAAAACATACAACACCTGCTCAATAAAGATATGCAGCAGTGAGGTAACTTTCAGCAGAGGAACTTAGTCCTCATACTCACATCTATATATTTAGAATAAAAGCGGAAACATCTAAACATTTATAATCATCAAACATATATACATATATATCATTCAGTTCGATTCACAACATATTTTATGTTTTCCTAAACATTCCACAACAAGATACATGTACTATGTATCACAAAAGAATCATATATTCTAGCTACCCGGTGCTACATATCAGAGTTAACCGACAAAAGAATAAAGATACGCTTCACAAAAAGACCTCCAACATACCTACTCTACAATGCCTCATAGAGCATCATAAAACAGTAGAAGGGTGAGAAATATTATCATAATAATAAATGCATATATATATATATGTATATATATATATATATATATATATATATATATATATATATATATATATATATATATATATATATATATATATATATATATATATATATATATATATATATATATACACACACACACACACACACACACACACACACACACACACACACACACACACACACACACACACACAAGCATAGAATATACATATTCCGAATTCTCGCCACAATTCATCATAACTCATCATATATATCACCATATATATGTATAAACAAATATTGAATAATCACCAAGCATATTCATCATGCACACATCCATAATTTTCATCATTCCACATAAACATACACATATGCATACATTTACACAACATTTATATCCATGCCACGTGACTCAATGCAACTCAATGCAACTCATGCCATGTGGTACCAACACTTGTTATTATTTTTCGGTTTTTACATTTAAACCGGGTCCGTCCCCTAGACCAATAACAAACAAAAGTCCGTCCTCTAAGCTTTCAAACCCACCCTTCTAGGTTTGGGACAAGTCAATAGTCTCCACGAAACTAGCAAGCATTGCCTTTTGACAACAAATGATGCGTATGCAATCAACAACAAATGCACTTAAGACCGTTCTCGCATCTTAATCTCATGCGTTATCAAATAATTC